AAGTCTGCTAAGCCTGCCATTAATTAGCACTGACATGCTGTTCTTCCCCACCCGGGGTCAGACTCAGAGAAACCCACAGAAAGACAAAAGCCAGCTCCGTCAACTTCACCTCCGCATGCGCCAAAGGAAGACCTCCCGAAGACTTCTGAGGAAACCCGCAGATAAAACGGGCCGACGCAGCGCTTACTTAAAGGCTCAATCAGCAAAATCTTTCAAGATCTGATGAAACACCAAATGGATACGGTTTAAAAGTGGCAGCCAAATGAAAGCTACCAGCTGTACCTGAGCATCTTTCTTTTCAATTATGGCTCCGCTTTAAAGCTTTGCTCCCTGCTGGGTTTCCCTTTGTAAATAAAGCATTTAAAGGGCCCATATCCTAGACAAACACATTTCACTTCCTTTTTAAGGCAAAACAGTTTGATGTCGTATGTAAACAAGCTTTCAAATTGTTCCCAAAACAGTCCATATATGGTAAATGAGCCGCAAAAACAGCCTTTTTTTGACTTTTGTGATGTCACAAAAACAAGCACATTTACATATATCCACCTATTCACATTGAAATCTTAAGTGTTTCAGCTGGGACTGCTTCCTGAGGCACAATGCAGGTAGGGCTGCACGATAAATCACAGTTTTATTGTTTTATTGCTCTGCCACGTGTAGAATGAGTGACTTAACCATTTGGCTAAACAGCCAATTATAAAACACACGTGTGCACAGCTCAAATACTAGTCTATCCTCAACTACTAACCTGTAAACATACTTGAAATGTGATGATTATTAAGCAGTGATGGCTACTGTCACAACAAACGTGCATCACCATAAGGAGTAAATATACTAAATATATATTAACTTAGTTTTGTAGGCCTAAATAGAAAAATATTCATATTTACTCATTTTTTTAGCCTTTATAGAATAACTCGCTCAGGAAATGCTGACTGTTTGCTGTCGTAAAGTGCACAATAAAGTGCTGGTAGTTGTGATCTGAGCAGCTATTAGTCTGTCTTTGTTTTTGTTTTGCACAACAGTGAATATTTAGTTATATTTCTGTTTGCAGAGCAAAAAATGTCTCTATATTTGTGGCGCATCCAGTCAGGGACACACTAAATTAACATAATTTATTATTTCTCAGATCATTGCTGTGATATTCAACAGCTTAATGCAAACATTTCATTCTCTGTCCATGTTGTGAAGCCCTAAATACAGGACAACCAATCAGAACAGAGCTCATTTACATATATCAGTCTTAAGGGCACAACACCAAAGGCAGGTTTAATTCTAAAGGATAAAATGGTCATGTAAAAATAAATTATGACTAAGTTTGCACACAAAAAAAGGATTCGGCCCCTTTAATGCGACTAGAATAAACTGAGCTCACTTCTGCAGTGCTAAGAACGTTACATCCAGTGCAGCCATGATACTGCAATCAAAGTCAGTGTCAAAAAAGAAGAAATAGAAAAACAAATCAATGAAAAGCTTCTAAAATTAAGCACATTTCTGTCAATATAGTGAGAAAGTTTTAATAAGCTTTCATAAAAAATAAGAAAAAATGATTTTGTGCTGTAAATTATCTTATGATCTTAAAATAAAATAAATAAAATACTATATAATAGTAAATATTTCAGAGGTTTAAGGCATTGTGGCAAGATTTAAGTAGCACTAATCTGATTTGGTGTTACTATAATAACCTACAATTAGCAGAAACCAGCATGAATATTATTTGAAGTATTTTCTTCAAACCTCATTTGGTACAAAATGTCTTGAAATGAGAATGTATGAACATGCTCAAGAAACTTTGCTTCTGCATAAACAAAAATGCCTTCAAAATGGTCTAAGTACTGTATATCAACACAATCATGCTTAAAATTAGACTAAATTCCTGAAAATACTCAAAATGAGGCACGGATCTTTCTTCGCCCCTGCATTACCGACTTTTCTGCAGAATCTCTCTGGAGTTTCTGTCTCAAGTGCTTCTGAGCAGCAGCATCGCTGGAAGAACATGAAGTAAACACTGAGATGCAGCAGTGCAAACTCGCCCGAAACAGTGGATTATATAAACGACTGTGCGCTGGCCAGCCAAGCAGGAGCGTTTACCACGGAGGAGAATTCAGGTGTGAAGTTAGGAGCAGGTAATAGGAAACGCCATGAGTCAACAGAGTAACAAATTATTCCCTCTCTGTGTGTTTACACAGCTCGGATGAGAGTCCAGCACCAGAGGAAGCTAGAAAACAGATCGCTGGCATTGTTTTCACTGCGAATGCTCTTAAAAACGAGCAGACGATCCAACACACCACCTAAACCACACTGCGTAATATAAAGATATACACTGTCGCTGTCAGAACAAAACACTGGTTCTTCATTTTGGTCATTTTTCATTGTTTACATCATTTAAAAGCATCCACGGCTGTTTACACTGCAAAAATAGTATCTAAAACGATCTTAAATTTAGTCGATATATACAATATTTCTCCTGTTGAGATTGTTGTAAGCTTATTTTAAAATTATGTAGCTTATTTCGAAACTTGTTTTAAGCAATTTTATTAAGTAAAATGATCTCACTGTATTGGCAGATAATTTTGCTTGCTGTAAGAAATGTGCTTGAAAACTATCAGCCAGTATATTTACCTAATAATTACTTAAAACAGGTAAAAATGTCTAGAAATAAGCTAAATAATGTTATAATAAGTGCACAACCATCTCAAAATAAGAAATATTGGATAGATCAACTAGAATTAAGATAATTTGACTTGACAAGATGTTATTTTTTGCAGTATACACTGTCAAAATTTCATAAATGGACCCATAAAAATGGTGCAAAACTTATGTTCCAGCCACGCAGGCTGATTGGTTGAGAAGCCTTCTAACATAACAGCACATTTTTTTTCACAAACACTGTATCCCTGCGCTGAGACGCCGTTGCTAAGCAACGATATTGACAACTGTAGGAGACGCTCGAGCCAACAGAAAATGGACACTTTTAAGATCACATTTGACCAACAGCCGATTTGGTCAGACTCTGAAGATGAGACGACACTAAATTCCCAAACTGTCATCACCACTGAGCAGCTTTTCAGTCGGCAGCTGAGACAGAAGAACAGCTAAACAACCTGGAATCAGCCAGAAATGAACCCAACACCATTCGCCAAACTAAATGGGCTGTAAGATGCTTTACAGACTGGCTGGAACAAAACAACATTAATACTGATCTGGCAAAAACTGACAAAACTGAGCTGAACTTGATATTGCGGCAGTTTTATGGCTCAGTCTGATTTGGTCAGACTCTGAAGATCAGACTACACGTTTGGCGAATGGTATTGGGTTCATTTCTGGCTGATTCCAGGTTGTTTAGCTGTTCTTCTGTCACAGCTGCCGACTGAAAAGCTGCTCAGTGGTGACAGTTTGGGAGTTTAGTGTGAGGAGCTGGAGAACGAACTGCCGGCTGTGCAGCGAGTGGGCGGAGCTCGTTACTCTGACGTAGCAACAAGCTGCTCGTTAAGGAACTATAATTTGGTGAAGGAACTGCGAACATTAAAACATATTAAACGCCGCGTTCACGGCCCAGTTTATTAATTTATTACTTTATTTATTTAACTGTTGTATTAAAGCAATAGAACACTCGAGGAGTGTGTTATCGCCAATAACATCACGGCTGTAATGATATTTCGAGATAACACACTTCCTCTCATGTTCTATTGCTTAATTAACACACATTGAAAGTTAAGAGTGTTTTTATTCTCCTGTAAAGATCCAGATTTGTTCCAACAGCGACGACATGAATGTAAAATCTGTCGAATTGCTTTAGCTGACACTGAATTGTGCAGCTCAAAGTGCTGCATTGACTTTACTACACATTTGAATAAAGTAACTCAGTGTAGCACAGTGTACAGTACTGTGCAAAAGTCAGTGACCCCTCATTCATCTAAAACTGCCATTAAGTACAAGTTGCTCAATTTCCAGATGTTTCTGAGGAGATCAGATATAAGACTGTGAGAAACTGAAACCGAGTCTCCTGAAAAGAGTGGAAGCTGGAATAAAGGCACACTTAGAAAACGGTTCTTCAAGGGTTCTTTGGGTGCTTGTGTTTAAATATAGAGTCATTGCCTTTACTAAAGAACCATTGAAGAACCATTTTTTGGGAGTGCACACTCTTTAGGACAGTGGATACAGAGGAAAACCTGCTGTATCTGGTTGTTTAAGGAACACTGTTCAAGGGTTCTCTAGTAAAGACAGTGGTTCTATATAGAACCATGAACATTCGGAGAACCATCTGCATGCTTAAAGGGTTCTTCACATGGTGAAAGTGTTCTTCAGACTGATGAAGAATGTGTTGTATATGCTTCTCCTATGCACCTTTTTGGAAAAGGGTTTTACAAGCTTGGATGGTTCTATATTTTTTGAAAAGGGTTCTATATAGAACCCAAAAGGGTTACAAGCTTGCCATCATAACAGTAAAAGAATCCTTTTGGGTGCTATATAGAACCACTTTTAAAAAGGTTCTATATAGAACCATCCACAGTACATTCTGCATCAATCAGTGAAGAACAATTTCATGATGCAAAAGTCATGCAAAGGGTTCTTTAAGTGTTCACGGTTCTATATACAGCCATTTTCTTTACTAAAGAAGGATTTTTTAAGAGTGTACCCTTTTTTAAGAGTGGACACAATAAGTACTGAGCTCGTACTTAACGGCTGATTTGTCTAGAACATAAATAAGTGAAAGGGGGGTCTCTGACTTCTGCACTGTTGTACTGTAGTTTGACAAAACTTTCATAGATTTGCTGAAATCTTTGCTGAAATCTGTTTTGAATATTGTTCAAAATCAGAAAAGCTGCCTTTGGTTGAGTAAACAAGCTTCTTCCTGAGACCTGGACATTCCTGTAAATGGGGGATAAAGGAGTTTGGAAGTTCCAGATGACGTAGACCCTCCTGTGGACTTTATCAACCAACCGCGTTCGGACGTTCTCACTGAGCAGGCGAGGTGACGTCACCAGGTGCGAGCTTACCTTGTCGGCCATGATCATGGAGGAGCCCCCGTGGATCCCCAGGATGGGTATCAACGTCTGGGAGGAAATAAAATCCAAAATCTGGGCGATGGCTTCCTGGTCGGTGCCGTCCCCGAACACCACGCCGTGGATTTTAGTCCCGGACATGAGGTCGCACACATGAGTGATGATGCTTTTGGGATCCGTCTCGTTGACCAGCAGGGTGACCACATTGACGTCGATGGGGTCATCCTTGCTCCACAGAGCGCGTATGTCTCTGTCTGAAATGTAGCGCGTTTGCCCCAGGATCACTGCAATGTTCAGGATGGGCACTTTCTCCGCCGCACGCGTCAGGCTCACAAGGGTAAGGAGAGCTGGAAGAGTCAGGAGTACCAACCTGGAGAACCCCATAGTGCTCGACTTCATTCCCTGTCGGCAGAGAAAACACGACGTCAGTAAAACTCCGCACTGTCCAGATAAGCCACACTAGGGCTCTCACTGTCGATTACACTGAGAAATCTACCAATTATTCAATTGAGTGATCAGACTGAAAATTAAGACTCGATTTTAGGGATCAAAACACTTTAAAGGAAAACAGTTATTATTCTTAAAAAGACGGTTCTTCAAGGGTTTTTAAGTAAATAATGCTTAAATGGTTCTTTGCATCGTGAAATGTTTCCTTAGATTGATGGAGGATGTGCTGTATATGGTTCTACAAAGAACCTTTTTAAAAAGGGTTCTATATAGCACCAAAAAGGGTTCTTCTATTGTTTCAAGCTTGACACTGTAACAACAGAAGAACCCTCTTTGGTGCTATATAGAACCAACTACAACACATTCTCCATCAATCTGAAGAACCATTTCACCATGCAAAGAACCATTTAAGCATGCAAATGGTTTTGGGTGTAGAACCATTGTCTTTACTAAAGAGTCCTTGAAGAACCATCTTTTTAAAGAGTGTATATAACAAACCTCCTACACTACATATATTGTATATACAAATTTCTATATATTTTTAAGCAATGTTCTATACACATATATTCACAGATCAGCCATCTTCTACACTCACGGTCTATTTTATCAGCTCCACTGACCATACAGGACGCTGCCCACAGGACGCTGTTGGCTGGATATTTTTGGTTGGTGGACTATTCTCAGTCCAGCAGTGACACTGAGGTGTTTAAAAACTCCAGCAGCACTGCTGTGTCTGATCCACTCAGACCAGCACAACACACACTAACACACCACCACCACGTCAGTGTTACTGCAGGGCTGAGAATGATCCACCACCCAAATAGTACCTGCTCTGTGAGGGTCCATGGGGGTCCTGACCACTGAAGAACAGGGTAAAAGGGGGCTAACAAAGTATCAGGGAAACAGATGGACTACAGTCTGTAACTGTAGAACTACAAAGTGCACCTATATAGTAAGTGGAGCTGATAAAATGGACAATGAGCGTAGAAACAAGGAGGTGATATGGCTGACACACACATATACACAGTCATATTATACGTCATATATACATATATATAACATATATATATAATAATAAATAAAAGTTTAATACTGAAAGAAAGAGCAGTAGGAGATCATGCAAATTACTAGGAAGTCATCGTAATTCATCAATGATGTTTTGAAATCAAGCTTAATCGATTAATCGAGTGCAGATTAATCAGCAATTGCAGAGCTTCACTTTTACACTCCAGAACATTAGCCTGGATTAGCACTGGGGGAATTCAGGCTGTAAAGAGCCCTAACTGCAAAAACTGAGTAGAGGTGATCAATATCACAGTACTTTATTGCTTTTCTGAGCATATCATGGATATAATCAGTATTTAAAGGGCAATTACACCTAAATTCCTGCATAATCAAGCAATTTAGATATAAACAGAGCGGCTCAGAGCGGTTTGGTGTGAAACGCTCTGTTCTAGAGAACCTTACCGAGTCAGAACCGTTCACAGTGGTGGTGATAGGAACCAGACGTCCACCTCTAAAAGCTCCCTCACAGAAAGTTCCTACATGAAATGGTTGTGAATTCACTGCCTGATGACTGAGACACTGTCCTGGTTTCTATCGCCACCAGTGTAAAAATTCAGTAAATTTCTCTGCAGTGACCCATTTGACGTTAAACACCTCCTGTTTACATCTCATGCTCTGAATTATAGAGAAATTTTGAAAACGGGTGGAATTCCCCTTTTATAGAGCACTGACCAAGTGTGTTTTTCATCAGAGCTCATGACCAGGCCTGTTAAACTGGATGTAGTGCTGCATAGTGTGGAATAGAATTCATCATTCATCATACTCCAACTTGAAATACTGTGATGCAAGCTGTTTATTGTCTTTTTCTTTCCCTATTATTTTGTGCCACATCTCCCACCTTTAAGACAGAGCAATCTCTGCACTTCAAGCTGCAAGTGCACTGGACCGATTCTCAATCAGCAGCGAGCACTGCGCTCACAGAGAACAAGTACAGAGATTGAAAAACGCCCACAACGTCAGGCTGCCGTTCTGCCGTTAATACTGCATGATGTTCAATTCATTCCTGATTTTCTGTATTGTCTTCTATTAAGCTCTTACAAGCGGCCCTCATCTTAGGCAGCTACAGCAAACGGAGTCCCTTTATTTCATCTCTCATTTTGGAATCCGGGCGATGAATAACTCGCAATGAGCGAGTGATGAAGATTCTGTGTGACACCGAAGTTGAGCAGCAAGCAGAGCAGAAGAGAGCTGCGCTGTCATCATCGCACTGCGAGTCTTCTTGGAGCGAGTGGAGGAACGGAGGGCGAAAAGGGAAGAGGGCCCTCATTTTAAAGCCTATATGATTCCTATCAAAGCGTATGGCTCAGAGAGACTCCTCTGGCCAAGCACACTGCAGCATGCTGTCATTTCAAGGGGAAGTCCACCATCTTTTCAAAAGATTCAGCATAATTAAGAGGTTACGATGTAAATAAACTCGTTCAGAGTGGTTTGGTGTGAAACGCTCCGTTCTAGAGTCAGAATCGTTCACAGTGGTGGTGATAGGAACCAGACGTCCACCTCTAAAAGCTCCCTCACAGAATTTTATACATGAAGTGGTCATGAATTCACTGCCCGATGTCTGAGACACTGATTTACGATATATTAGAACGTATTTTTAAAATCCATTCATGACAGAGAAGACAAAATAGCCCCCAAATAATTATTTTTTTAAATTTCCCACTATTTTAACATTATATAAGGACACGTGTAGGTCCACTGGTGCTTTCGGATAGTAAATAAAATGGCTATTTTTGTGTTGTAGTCATGGTGACCCCTGGTTCCTATCACCACCACTGTAAAGTAATCAGAGTCTCTACAATGATCCCAATTCACTGAATCATGCAGAAAATTGTAAAATTACGATGGAATTCCCCTTTAACTGTAAGATACCATTTAAAGGGTCCACATGCCACATTTTCCTTCTGTTTTATTTTTGTCACCGAGCTCTACTCGTGACATTTATGCACCATTATTTATTTCTGCACAGCATACAAAAACTCAGAAAACACGTGTGGGTTCACTGCTGCTTTTGGACAATAAATAAAATGGCTATATTTGTGTACTTTGTGTAAATATTGCAACCCCTGGCTCCTTTTACCACTACTGAGTCACTTTCTCTATGAGAAACCACTTCACAAAACCACTAAGTCACCTTGCTTACGTCTTAACTGTTTACATATGCATCAATTTTGAAAAGTGGGTGGGATTCCCCTTCAGTTAAAAGCTAATTTAAAAAAGGTTGGTAATTCTTAAAGATACTAATACAAATTAGCATCAGTATCGGCTTAAGGTCAAGGTTCCAGTCTCGGTATCAGATAAGAAGATATCATATCGAGTAGAGCTGGGCAATCGACATTTATCGTTATCGTGATAAATTACATTACAATATGCATATCGCAGATATCATCAGCACCTAAATACACTTCTAAACAGCCTGTTTGATTAAAAAGAGAGCATAATTAGTCCTGTGTGTGTGAAATGTTGAATACCAGTGACTGGATTCAGAGTTTTTGTTATTATTTTTTAAATGTGGCATTACTTTGTCTGTATAATTTATAAGATTTCAAAAAAATAAATATCGTGACACATAAATATCGTAAAAACTTCCTGAAGTATCATGATACGAGATGTAGCTCACCTCTTGTATCGAGCCACTTTTTGCCACAACACCAGTCAACAGCTGCAGCAGCATATATGTAAAATATCTGGCTTTTTTTTTTTTACATCATAAAAGTCCCCGGCATTTAAAAAGAGAGCATAATTAGTCCTGTGTGTGTGAAATGTTGAACACAAGAGACTGGATTCAGAGTTTTTGAAGTATTTCTAAAATGTGGTACTACTTAGTCGGTACAACTTAGCAAATTTTACGCATAAATATCGTAAAAAACTTCCTGAAGTATCGTGATACGAGATATAGCTTACTTCCAGTATCGAACCACCTCTAGCCACAACACCAGCCAACAACTGCAGTACTATATATGTAAAACACCTAGCTTATTTATTACATAATAAAAGTCCCCAGGCATTTAAAAACAGAGCATAATTAGTCCAGTGTGTGTGAAATGTTGAACACAAGTGACTGGATTCATAGTTTTTGATAATATTTGTAAAACGTGGCGCTACTTTGTCTGTTCCAACATATCAGACGTCAGAAAAAAATATTGTGACACGTAAAAATATAAATAAACTTCCTAAAGTATTGTGATATGACATCTTGTGATATTTCCCACCTCCACCCACAACACAGTCAACACCTGCAGTACCATATATGTAAAATATCTCTTTTTTTCCTTTTACAAAATAAAAGTCCCTCGGCATTTTTAAACCTGCACACAGTTCCTCCTAAAAAGAAATTCTCTTGATTTCTCCTGGTTGTTTGCCGCCTGAGGAAGAGACACAGATTGATAGACTGATTGATAAACAGAGAGAATGAATCATGGAATCCCTGCTGATGCAGAGACTCCTAACTTGCCTGAGTTATCTCGAGCTAGCGCAGGATCTGTGTCCCTACAACGTGACAGAGATCTGAGGATGGGAAGGAGGGGGAGGAGGGGTGGTATTTAGATATATATTCCTTCTGATGTCTCATTAATTTCCCAACGAAGCTGAGCTTTATACAAGCGCGCCCCCTGTTGGCGCGTCCCAAAAGCGCCAGCTGGATCAGCTGGATCTACATGTCAGGACACGGTCCAGCACATTCAATGTCATGGTTGTGGTGTGTGTGTGTGGTGGGGGGGTATATAGATTGAGAGAAATGATATTTCTGCATGAAAAAAGGAACTAAAGGAGGGGTTATTTTAGCCACAAAGCTCACAGCTTTTTTGCAAAAAAAAGGACAATTGTTAAGAATATTTGTTGTTATATATTTAGTTGTGTTTTTATTGTTTTTCCATGCTTTTTTCACATTTTGACACTCATCACAACAAGACTTTTTCACCCCATTTCATATATTTAACTCTTTATTATCACAGTGCAAAGATAGACCAAGATGTGACGCTTCTTGTTCGAATTTCCCGTTCCACCTTAAATGGTGCAGCAGTTACGTTCAGGCGCCTCAGGCGCCTGAACGTAACTGCTGCACCATTTAAGGTGGAACGGGAAATTCGAATGGGAAGGCAACTTCGTCCCGCGTTTGGTCAGCTTTTTCTCTGTTTTCTGCGAAAGCTGCATCGTGGTGCATGGCGAGGAGATCCTGCACGACACTTTGGCATCCCAAATTTCTCGAATCCTCACTAACAATTCCGAGTTTCGCGTTTAAAACAAGACGTAAACGTTCCCCCCCCGCACGTCTGCTGCTCTCCCCATTCATCCTCACGTGTCCCCGCACTTTAGCTAGTACACATGCACGCGTAAGGAACCGGGCGTTCTGGAGAAAAGCAGGCAGAGCAGAGGAGAGAAGGAACGCAGCGATACTCACAGCATCTCTCTTCCACAAAGCTCCGAAACAGTGCGGTGAGTTGGCATTGCAGCAGTGCTCCTCTCTCCTGACAGGCTGCACATACGAGGCTTCCTCTCCAGCGACGAATCCCTTTAACTTCGAGCCCGGTGTGGGGAGAAAAATCACATTAATCCCATCGCTTCTCTCTTTTCTCTTCTCTCTTTCTTTTTTTTTTTCTCTCTCTTTTATTTCGCGTGCTCAGGCTGTATCCATGCCTCTCAGTCAGCTCCTCGACCTCGCATCCCTTCCTCCCCTACAGAACTGAGAAAAGGAGAAAAGGTGGATGACTGAATCCGCAGAAGTGGAGAGAGAGAGAGAGAGAGAGAGGGAGAAACAGTGGAGGAGGGAGAGAGAGAGAGAGAGGGAGAAACAGTGGAGGAGGGAGAGGGAGAGAGAGAGAGAGAAGGGTGGGGGGGGGCAGTCCCTCTCCTGACAAACTGATGGGGGCTAAGAACCACAGAGTAAAGAAAAAGATGTGTTTTTCGTTTTTTTTAGGGTTTTAAAGGGCAATTCCACCCATTTTTTCAAAATTGTCCCCCTGATTCAGTGGTTTTGGTGTGAAATGGTTGATTGTAGACTCATTTCTTTAGAGTGGTGGTGATGGGAAGCAGGGGGTTGTTCATGTTTATGGCTTACAGTAAGTCATACTGTGTGCTAAACCTCTGTGCCACCTTAACGAAGACCTGGATCAGCGGTTTTGGAGATGTGCTTAAAGTAAAGATTTGGGTGACTATTGACTTCCAGTGTTCTGTTTTTAGCAAAAAATGGGATCAAACCTCAAGCGCTAAACCAAAGAAGCAAAACCCGGACACTAAAAATGTCTGATCAGGTATATCTGGGGTAAATGGGAAATTGTGGAAATGTGATATTTAATATCATTATTATTTGATATAACTATTCCTTTAATTGTTTAGTCGATTATTCTGTTTTGGTATCATCTGAAGAAAGAATGATGGACCAAAGCCTTTAGTCTGTGGTCTTTAAATGGGAATTACACCAATTTCTTCCACCTGCATGATTTGGTCATCAAAATGTAAACAGAGTGATTCAGAGTGGTTTGGTGTGAAATGGCTCAGATTTCTTTACAGTGGTGGTGATAGGAACCAGGGGTCGCCATGACTACAACACAAATATAGACATTTTATTAACTATCCAAAACCACCAGTGAACCTACACGAGTCTTCTGAGTTTATATGGAATGTTGATGATGGGAAAATATTGGAAAATCTGAAAATGTAAGTTTTCTTTGGGGACTATTTTGCCTCACAACACCCTGCATGTATCCCTCCATCATTAATAGATTAAAATTAATTGATTAAATATGTTATAGACCAAAACATTATCACAGAACAGTGTCTCAGTCATCAGGCAGTGAATTCATAACCATTTCATGTAGGAACTTTCTGTGAGGGAGCTTTTAGAGGTGGACGTCTGGTTCCTATCACCACCACTGTGAACAGTTCTGACTCAGTATGTTTCTCTAGAACGGAGCGTTTCACACCAAACCACTCTGAACGACTCTGTTTACATCTCAACCGTTTAATTATGTACAATTTTTTTAAAAAGTCTGTGGAGTTGCCCTTTAAGCTATGCTGAAAAACAGAAAACAATTTAGTTGCAACTAAGCAAAATGACTTGTTGGCAATTAAAGGGGAATTCCACTGATTTTTCAGAATTTCTGCATAAGTGATTAACAATGTCATTCAGAGTGGTTTGGTGTGAAATGCTGAGAAAGAGTTAGGGTTGTTTTACAGTGGTGGTGAAAGGAACCAGACGTCTAATGCCTCTAAAAGCTCCCTCGCAGAAAGTTATTACATAGTAATGTTTAGAAATATGCTGTCTAATGTGCTGCGAGAGATAGTTTACGAGTTTCGTTGCAATTAAGCTTTGAACTGAAACATATTTTTAAACCCACTCGTGGCGAGGAGTACACACTGGATGCAGAAGAAAACATAATTTTTCTGACTGTTTTACCATTATCAAAATGACATATAAATACTCAGAAGAGATGTGTAGCTCTATGGCTATATTTGTGTTGTAGACATTGTAACTGCTCTGCATAACTTCATTTACATCACAATGATTGAATTCTGCATAACATTTAAAAAAATGGGTGGAATTCCCCTTTAACTATTAGCTACCATTTAACGTGTTCACTGGAGTGATTAACCAGCTTCACTGTCTGTCAGTCTGATGATGAATCTGGGTTTGGTGGATATCAGGAGAACGTTACCTACTGGAATGCACAACAGTACAGTTTGGTGGAGGAGGGATGATGGGCTGGGCTGTTGTTCAGGGTTTGGGCCCCTCAGTTCCAGTGAAGGGTGATGTTGATGCTGCAGCACAAAGACATTTTACACAGTTATCTGCTTCCAGCTTTGATGCAGCAGTTTGGGGAAGAGCCTTTCCTGTTCCAGCATGACTGAGTCCCTGAGCACAAAGCAGCTCCATAAAGACATGGAGTGACCAGTTTGGTGAGGAGGAACTCCAGTGGCCTGCACAGAGCCCTGACCTCAACCCCACTGAACACCTTTGGGATTTGGGGTTTTTGCGAAGGGTGGTAAATGCCCAGAAGTGTGTGAGGGTGCACTGGCGATACACTTTCATGTTTCTGCATTGTGTCTGCACTGAGGGCTGAAAACATGGCTTTTTAATCTTAAAACTGTCTGCCTTGTGTGCCTTGAACTGATTCCTTACCTGTCTCTGTTCTAGCGACACCTCATTGAACTGACTGATGACTGATCTCGCCATAAACACACATAGGCACCCATCACTGTGCAGTGCAGATGAAGCGTAATGCGCCGCTGTGCCGTCTGCAGCTCCCCAATTGCTCAGACAATGAGTCTAGTGTGACGCAGAGCAGTTACTATCTCATTAAACATCAATTACATCTGGGAAATAATAAGAAATCACTGCTTTTGTCAACGTAGGCAATTCCACAGGCTGTAAAGCATGGGTCTCAAACTCCTTGGGGCCTTTTTGGGGGGTGTTTCAGCTAAAAAAGCATATTTTTCAATAATTCAAGAATGAATTAAGGGTTTTAATATAAAATTTTAGCAAACGTTATAAACTACAATATAGGACAATGTTCCATTTTCTTCAAATATAAATCATATTCAGTTATTTAAGCAAATCTTAGTTGATTCAAGTCACAACAAGATTTATTTATGCAGCGCTTTTTACTGCGGCTGTTGTCACAAATCAGCTTTACAGAAAATCCGGGTCCAGGCCCCAAAATGAGCATCGCCAAGGGCGACAGCAGCAAGAAAAAACTCCCTAAGAGCAAGAGGAAGGAATGCAGAGAGGAACCGAGTCTAAAAAGAGGAACCCGTCCTCCTCTGGATGACAACGGATCGCAAAACAATAACACAACAAGAGCAATATGAACAGAGAATAGGATTTTCAGTTAATACACAGTAGTGCATGTAAAGAAACAAGCCGTCATTGGACAGAAGTGTTTAGATTAACCAATAATCACTGATGACTACTGTTAGAGGCCTGTCTATTGTGATGGATCTATTATGATGATATGTGAGTATGAATATGTAAAGAGCTCAGTATATTGAGGCAGGTGAAACAATGTCTGTGATCAAATAAATATGGTTTAAAGCCATGCAGGTACCAGTATCCTCACTCACAACAAACCACAACTGCTACTACTACTAATAATAATTATAGGTGAAAGCAATGCGCAACACTACTGTTATCTGATTTACACCGATCAGGCATAGCATTATGACCACCTCCTTGTTTCTACGCTCATTGTCCATTTTATCAGCTCCACTTACTATATAGGTGCACTTTGTAGTTCTACAGTTACAGACTGTAGTCCATCTGTTTCTCTGATACTTTGTTAGCCCCCTTTTACCCTGTTCTTCAGTGGTCAGGACCCCCATGGACCCTCACAGAGCAGGTACTATTTGGGTGGTGGATCATTCTCAGCACCGCAGTAACACTGACGTGGTGGTGGTGTGTTGGTCTGTGTTCCGCTGGTCTGAGTGGATCAGACACAGCAGTGCTGCTGGAGTTTTTAAACACTGTGTCCACTCACTGTCCACTCTATTAGACACTCCTACCTTGTCGGTCCACCTTGTAGATGTAGAGTCAGAGACGATAGCTCATCTGCTGCTGCACAGTTTGTGTTGGTCATCCTCTAGTCCTTCATCAGTGGTCACAGGACGCTGCCCACAGGACGCTGTTGGCTGGATATTTTTGGTTGGTGGACTATTCTCAGTCCAGCAGTGACACTGAGGTGTTTAAAAACTCCAGCAGCACTGCTGTGTCTGATCCACTCAGACCAGCACAACACACACTAACACACCACCACCACATCAATGTTACTGCAGTGCTGAGAATGACCCACCACCCAAATAGTATCTGCACTGTGAGGGTCCATGGGGGTCCTGACCACTGAAGAACAGGGTAAAAGGGGGCTAACAAAGTATCAGAGAAACAGATGGACTACAGTCTGTAACTGTAGAACTACAAAGTGCACCTATATAGTAAGTGGAGCTGATAAAATGGACAATGAGCGCAGAAACAAGGAGGTGGTCATAATGTTATGCCTGATCGGTGTACATTCTTATTATTATTATCTTTCTGTCGGATTTTTTTCCACTAACTCGTTCCGCAGTTTTCGAGATATTGACACCGTTCTAACTTCAGAACGTTCTGATCAGGAACGATGTGCTTGTATACAGCTTTTTTTTATCCGATGAACGGTTTTCGTACAATCTTCATTGAATTATGATTTTTTTTCCCATAGGAATGAATGGAGTAAAAAATTGTATGTCCATCTACTGGACTTCTGTTTGACCAAAAGACACCGTTTCGCATACACTATTTCAGAACAGGCCCCCGAACACGAATTCAATGTTCTGACCCACACTCATCTGTTTCTCTTTTTTTCTCATCCCTATTTCTCCCATAGAGTCCTATTCTTTTTTCGACCTGATCTATAGCCAAACCGACCCGCACTCCTACTTACCAGCTACCTGTGTTACCATAACAACCACTGGCAACACCTTAGCAACTGCCTATCAACCACCTGGGATACCATACCAAACGCCTAGCAACACCATAGCACCTACCTTGCCACAGATTAACAACCACCTTGGATAATATAGCAACCTGCTAGCAACACCCTAGCAACCACCTGGGATACTATAGCAACCACCTAGCAACACCTCAGCAACCACCTGGAAATCCACAGCAACTACCTATTAACATCCTAGCAATCATAAAAAATAC